TAGTAACTTGTGGCTATGTATATGTTAGACATATTGATTTACTCTTTCTATTGTACATTATGGATTTGTGTTTAGTATTTACATATCAAAGCTAGTTAGATGTTAGATTTTTATTATTAGTGTTTATTATTGCTTTTTAGAATAATAAAGCTTTAGAGAAACATGTTTGTACTTTTATTTCATTTTTTATCTGAATTGGTGTTATAATAAGTAGCTTATTCATCATCAAATTATGAAACAGACATCGAAATACTTGAAAGAGCAACATATACCAGAATGCCGCTACACATGGACATAATTAATTTTTTAGTCGATAAGAAAAGAGAACAGAGGGAACTGAGTAGATTGGTCACCAGCCCCTTAAGTTTTGAAAAAGGATTTTGCAGCTGCGTTCCTCTACTGAATTATTTCCTCCTTCTTTGCAATTTAGTATCAGACCTCAAAGAGATCATTATTATGAAAGTTTCGGATTTACTTAATAAATTTAAGATTCTACATCTAGGGGCAGGTCATAGGAACTGCGAGACATCCGAACAAACATGAATGATTATGAACTCCCGCAAAAAAATCAGAGACGAAACTAGGATTACAGGTAAGCCTGTTCCGCATCGTATATGAAATGCTACATTAAGTCCAGGTAATTGCTATAATGAACACAACGAAAAGGGCTTTAATCATTGTATACACTAAACCATCATTGTAGACACTAAACCATCATTGCTTAAAATCAAACCACGACGCTAGTACGTTACTACTGACAATGGTATGGGAAGTAACATTTTATAGGGAAATTCAGACGTTTGCCACAATGTTTGGTAGTGAGATGATAATTAATGTCTTATTGTAGCTATTTGTCAAAAGTTTATTTAGTATTTAGCTTAATGATTTTGTATTAGCATGGATGCCTATCCATTACACTTTTATAAACATGTTTTGATTACCGTTACATGACTAAAGGCTAAATTATGGAAGCTAATGGTTGAAGTATTTGTCAAATTGACCGACTTATTAACATGGTTTTTTCAGTACCAGGGGGCGTAACTCGAGTTTTCTTAGACGATGAATCTGGGCTTTTAGCTATATATTTCAAAATCCGATAAAATTAATTCAACACTTTTCCACTCATAACAGATAAATCTTGTAATTTGAAAATATTTTGTATATTGAGTGTTAACTTTAGGAAATCAGACCAAATGTATACAAAAACACAAATCGTCATAATATGCAAATAGAGAACGTGATCGATATTCACCAGAGGCCACACAAGGACTGCTCGATTTACGTTCATCTGACACCCGGAATGGTCGACCGGTTGAACGAAGCAGGCTCATCATGTTTAAATTTTTCCAGGTTTATTGTAAATCTTTCCTTTAATGTCTATAGAGAGTCTTAACGATAGAATGTCATCATTGATACAAAATTATTTGATTTATTCATCAAACCATTCTTAATTTATACAATCAGAGACATGTTTAAGTCTTACGTGCTACAGAAAAATGTCGAAATGTTACTTCAATGCAGTTTGACCTTTATTGAATCTCATGACTCAAGAACATTCTTTCTGAAACTAAAATATGAAATGAACACATCTCTTAGACACTTTAATAAGCATTCTGTATGAAAGGTTACTTATTACAAATGATGACGTTTAAATGAATATAAAATTTGATCCAGTAAAAAACAAGCACCTCAATACAATATTAAATAAAAATGAAGCAAATAACTTGTCAATATAGATATATTAACTTTCAATAACTATATATTTGTGAATAATGCTGCATTTTTACTCCTGAGCTCTCACTTAACAACGAAAACAGATATTCATGAGAATAAAATAAAAACAATATTTTTACACATTCTTATGTATGAGTAACGTTTCAATTTGTGGTTAATTAATATGACATTAAGTTAAAAATAGATAAAACAAATCACTTTGCTTCATACTCAAAACATACGATGATTGATCAGATACAAACTTCTTTTGCACAAAACTCAAAAAACGCTCTCGTCCAGATAAATCAAAGAAAATATCAGTATGAAATAAAGTACAGACTTTTCCATTCAAATGATAAACCAACATATAACGTCACGCTACCACAATTGGTACACTACCCAAATTGGTACACGGTCAGAAAATTGTTCGAATAGTACTTTAAGATTAAATTTGAGCATTTTCCTTTGACTGTATAACAAAATAGATATTTATCAGCATTTCTGCCGAATAGTTTTGTTTTCAGGAACATTTTAAGAGTACACGATGACTTCAAAGTAAACATATCAGAAAACCAGTAAAAACGATGTACGTCGGCGAAATTTTGGAGGATTTTCAAGGGGTTAAATATAAGCATGTTTAAATGTTGATTTCTGGTCCTTATATTCGGATAATATAAAAGTGAATATATACAATTATAGTTCAGTATGGTATCTATAAAAGCAATATATTTTGTTGTAATCGGCACATCAACTTGTAGAAATAAAAACAATTTCCATAGCCTGTGATATAGTGTACCAATTTGGGTACTATTAACGGACGAAAAACGGACGAAATCTCACTCTGGGTTTAGCGTTCTATTTTCAAAAATAAATTACTTAGATATAAATCGTTTCCTGAAAATGAACCACCATAGGTAGTCTTTGTCAAGAATCAAGAAACATTCCAGATACAAGATCTGAATTTTTAAAGATCACTAAAAATCTGTCAAAATTGTACCAATTGTGGTAGCGTGACCTTAAGCATGGAAAAATTACAATGAATGTTTAAATATTGTTTTTATTAGCACCAGCATCTTAAATGTACTAAAACTAATTATGAATGGATGGACTTGTCTAGTTGCCGATGAGAAAGTAAATATAACTTCAGAAACATTTTACATGAGAGTGTATACGCTTGGAGGGATACTGTCTGTTCGATGTAGTGTATAGTGACCATAAAAGCATCATCCAGGTGTCTTATTTCTACTGTCTGTAACTTCAAGTATATAACGTAATGTTGACAACTTTACGCGTATTACGTAATGGTCTTAACTTCACGTGAATTTGTGTAACGTTTTCAACTTCATGGGAATTGTGTAATGCTAATAACTTAACGCACACGTGTATTGGTCTGAACTTCATGTGGTTTGTGAAATGTCTATAATATCACACGAATTTTGTAATTTATACATAGAACGATATCATGCTGATTAGTTTCAGGGAAAATCAATGCAATGCTTTACAAGATGTTTCGTCTTTCTTCGATCTAAAGCATTAGCATTCTTACATTTTGTTGACATACATATGTACAACGTTAATTTGCTTTTCGTTTTTTACAAACCCAAATTATATGCATGGAACCATTGTTAAGCTTAGATACTTGTTATCTTTGAAATCGGTAGTTCTTTGCTCACGGTACATACAAATCATCATACCGATTGGTTTTAACATGTCATTTACAAAGGCCTAACATTGAAAAATAATTAATTTCTCCTGGAAACATACCGTTTCAGTCTTTAATTTCATATATGTTATATACGACGTTTAAAATTGGGATTGACATGACCCTATAGCGCTACAAATGAGGACTGTGGTGACATAGAAATTAATGCTCTCTGCGTTGGAAAAGAAACGTTTTGTTACACACCATTCCCGTTCACATCATCCACTGTGTCCACGTATTCAATATCGTCACAATTCATCAGACATATCCGATTGGAGTAGTCCGGAGTTTTTTCTCCTGATTTTGTAGTTGCGTTGTCTAAGTAACTTTTTCCGTCTGTCATCTGGAAGTCTGACGTTACAGATATCAAGTCCTCCTCCAGATTACTGCTTCCGCTCTCCTGGGAACTCTCCTCGGCATACGTCCCAGAATCCTCCTCCTGACCGGAAGAACATGATTGGGAACAATCATCAGATTTAGAAACACTTTTGTTGGAGATACTTATCAATGGTTCGTTGTCTAGGGAAGCATTTTCTTGTGGGCAAGAAGTGACATTTTGAACATCGTCCGTTCTATCTGGAGCCTGCTCGGGAGCAGCTATACATACTATTTCTGTTTGGCACTCCTCTAGATTGTCTATGTTATCATTGTCACATGGACGTTCGATACACACAACCGTTACCCTATTAACTGATCGGACGGAATATGGTGACCCCTGTAGTTGGGACTGGGGGAGTGTGGACACAACATCATAAGCAGGGGGCGGTTCCTCATTCACCTCCTTTTTAACAGCATCCTCATAAGTGGGCGGGGCATATAGTTCAGTCACGCCCAGTGTGTCGATGTTATTTCCAACTGTCCACTCTCCGTTGGCTTTCCTTTTGGCGTATATTTGTACACTTTGTTGTCTAATGTAACTGAAAAGAAGAACACAATCAAATTGAAATAGTGCTTCAAAGCATATTGCATTGTTATATTTATCCATTTATGATGCAATATATCCGACAGATTTAATAAATCATTACATTTTAAAATAAATTGTGTGTAGGATATGGACAATATTTAGAATAGCTACAGATACAATACAATTGACAACTCAGCATAAACAATATATTTAACAAAGTGATGACAAAACCAAAGAAAATTGATATTTTTTTGGAAATAACAACATACCTTCTTCTGTTTTGTTTCTTAAGGAAACAGAGGACAGCAACAATAACCAGGAGAAAGACACTAATAGCCACACCGGCGGCTACCACGGCCGTAATGGTAGCTTCTGAAAAGGAATTCGTACTACCGTTAGAACAGAAGTGAGAAATGGCAAGTTTCGCATGTAGTACAATATTAGTATTCATTGTTAACAGTTATCATAGAGATTACTATTGATTTTTGTTGTATCGTGCCCAAAACTGTGATTGTGATAAAAATATGGATGCATATTATGGTAAATCTAAATATTACATTGCATGTTGTGAACTAAACCCTTAACCAAGTTTATATCATTAAATATAACATTGCATGTTGTGAACTTAACCATTGACCAGGTTTATATCATTAAATATAACATTGCATGTTTTGAACTCAACCATTGACCAGGTATATATCATTAAATATATCATTGCATGTTGTGAACTAAACCATTGACCAGGTTTATATAATTAAATATAACATTGCATGTTGTGAACTAAACCATTGACCAGGTTTATATAATTAAATATAACATTGCATGTTGTGAACTAAACCATTGACCAGGTTTATATAATTAAATATAGCATGGTATGTTATGAACTAAACTATTAACCTGGTTTATAGCATTAAATATAACATGGCATGTTGTGAACTAAACCATTAACCAGGTTTATATAATTAAATATAACATTGCATGTTGTGAACTAAACCATTAACCAGATTTATATCATTATTATGTATTACATATCCATCATTTTATCTTTATTTACTTTCGAAATACTAATAAACAGTTATCAATTATTTACCAAGTTAAGGTCATTATATCTTACCTGTTAAACAATATATATATTTAATATTATTAGTTATTTACTTACCTGCCCCTTTCCACTCAGGGTCGACCACCAGGTGGCAGGTATTTTCGTCAGTCTGGTCGCCGTCGCCACAGTTATACTCGTCGTCACACATGACTGACAGGGGAACACAGATTTGGGCCCGCCCACAGTGGTGGTGTAAACGATCACAATCATCGCTTCGCAAATCTTGTGAGAAAAGTAAGAACAATTAGATATAGATAATTGTTTCTGTGTATACACTTGATTACGTTAAATCATTTAAGTACCAAATTCTTATGAATATTCTGATTATGAAGTCAGACAATATATTGTATAAAATCTAGCTATGACAAACAATTGCTTTTTATAAAATATTTTGATAACATATATTTGAAAATTAATGTAATTATCTCAAAACATCGTGGTATTTATTGTGCATGCTTGCTACAACTACAAAGAATTGTCAAGCGTTTTTTGGTATGATGCATTTCTGTGTATGTATGTTTATGTTTGTGTGTATGTATGTATGTGTATGTATGTGTGTATGTATGTGTATGCATGTGTATGTATGTGTGTGTATATGTGTATGTATGTATGTGTATGCATGTGTGTATGTATGTATGTGTATGTATGTGTGTATGTATGTGTAAGTTTGTGTATATATGTGTGTGTATGTGTATGAGTTTGGATGGCTATTACGATTCGGAGTGTTGATGTCGTGTTAAACAATTCAACTCTGGAGAATGCAAGAGAGAATCTGGCAATACATATCTAACAAATGGGAGAATATCAAATGGTATAGCTTAGTTTAAGGCAGAAAATCAAAAATAATATAAGATGAAGATTAGCTTGCTTAATATGCATTTGTATAATATTGAGGCAGATAATAAAAAATCGAATCAAACACAACAATATCCCTGATGTTTCCTTACAAAAGATCATTTCCATTATCATTATTTGTAGGTATTACATTCACATCAGAAATCAGTCCTTATCCGTGTCAAATCAAAAGCATTGAAAATAATATTAACCACTTTTATGGAAAAGTGATGATCTAGATAACAACACGAATTTGGAGGTTTTCGGAGCTATTCAGAATTATAATACAAACAGCAAACGATTATTATATTGAGATTAAAATATGTGATCATGCTATTAATTTCACTGGAATTAATCACCTTTCTGTGAATTTTTTCCGTCTATATTAACGATGATTTAATTTGCAATGTTTAACGGCACATTTGAAGGAAAACTTAAATATTGTTAAAAACCCAAACTTCTTATTCTAAACTGATTTACCTTGAAACGACGTAATGAGTATCCGGAAGCCACTATATAAGAGATTTGGCTTGCCCATGTAGTCTAGCCGGAGTTTATTGCGGGAGGACTTGTAATCCATCACCCCCGGGCTTGTGTCCTTAAAGTAGGAGTCGTACACACCGAAAAGACCCATCACGGGCGTCACCTGCTTCACTGCTCCGCCCGGACGGTAGTCGTATATGTGAAGTCTGAAATTGTTTAATGTGTTTTTTTAAAATCATTTTAATGTTACAGAGCGCGAAATAGACTGAGGTCATTCTAACTAAGAGTTGCCTGCCCATTTACTTTAACAAAGGGTTATATAATAGAAAAATGTATTTAGAATTGCCTTATAATCAAAATATTTGCGTATGGATTGCATCCATTGACCTATTCAGATCGGGGAGCTAATTGATAGATAACACTCTCTGTTTTACCGGAAATGATTTTTGTTATGTAAACACTTTTTTTGCAGTTATTACGAATCATTGTAAAACCTCCTTACACCCTGAAACATCGGTGAACCGATAATTGTCTTTATATACATGTAGAGGAAATTAAATGACATGAATTTATCAGGGCAATAATCTGGCAATGCCAGACTACATCAAAAGGCAAATATCTGTTTTAAGCTCTAGAGTTGCCTCCCTTGAATCACTAACTTTGGCGTTTTTACTGTGATACAGGATTCTAGGTTTGGGCCTTTCATGATGACGGGTAAAATGTAATGGTTAATTTGGTTAATTTGGTTAAACGGTTAGCTCTCAGCAATATCATCAAATCTAGAGTGTAATCAATGTTAACTTTAGTCGGACCAAACAATATTTCACTAGTCGAAATATTTGTAATACAGTGATTTTTGTTTGTTTATGATAGAACAGGGATTATTACCGAGGAAGATTATCTTCAAGAATTCTTACTTGTAGAACATATTTCTGGGGGAATTCTTCACTTATTGGTGAAAAACTTATTTGAACTATGAAGTAAAACTTGTCTCTTAAACCCCCCAGATAATCTTATAAATTTTGTACAACTAATTATAATACGTATAAGTACGGTTCCTTCTAGAACTTTGATAATTACAGAATTGTTGTGAAAAGAAAACGTTTACTTGTGTGGTATGCTAACTGAAAAGAAGTTTGAGATACTCTCTCGTTGTCATAGACAAACATTACCTGTCGGGTGTGAGATTGTCTTTTGATATATCCATGGAGAGGAAGTGTAGGAGAAGACGCCGTGACGGGTCGGTGATGACGTCAACAGCACAGTGTAGGAACTTGCCCGATCTCTCCTCCAGTATCTGCTCCGTGAGCTCTACGATGACGCTGTCGTTGACGTGGACGGGCAGGTTGGCCCTGGATAATGCCGTCATAGACTTGGTACTGGTCATCGAGTGGACACCTGCAAGGACAAATCCAGAAATGTATTGGTCATACGCTTTTTTTCTTTTAAAACAATCTTATTTTACTTTGCAACCCATTAAATTTTATGTCCGTCTATTGTATTATTATTTTATTAATTTCTAGTCAAATATTACAAACCGTTGCATCAGCTCATCCAGACTCCATGAATGCATAAAACAATATTACTGAGTTAAAAATACTGTACTGTTTGTTAACTCGTAGGGGGAAATATATTTTCTTAGAGTGAATAGTGTTATTCCACTGTACCAGATCCATCTTTAATAAAGTATTTACAGTACAGTAAGAACAGTCGATCAGTAAAATATTTATGACGATGCAGCAGCGATACCTTCGGAGACACTGTGATAATCAAGCCTTGCTAGACATACATGTAGATAGTGGATACAGATCAGCGACATTTTCCTTAATATGTGCGAGTCTTGGAAACTAACCTCATCCCCATCCTCATCAGTTCTAATTAAAAGGAACCCTATCAACTGGTGTACAAATGACTGCTAGATCAGAAGAGGAACCTAGCACGGCTACAGTAGTATAAGTATGGTCTAGGGATAATTTCCATTACTCCGATTTGTATTGCAATTAAGAACGTATTTTCCAGGGTCATAAGACGGATGTTGTTTCTGCTATAACTTTATGATAAATACCATACCAAAGGAAACAACGCAGAGATTTTGGACTACATTGATAATTATTTGATTTCCATTCTTATCATGACATGTGACTTTAACTGTTAACACTGAAAGTGGAATCCAATTGGTTTGTTTTGTGTTTTACGTCCTATTAAAAGCTATGGTCATTTATGGACGTGCAAGGTTTTGGCGGTGGAGGAAAGCCGGAGCTCCCGTAGAAAAAACACCGACCTGCGGACAGTACCTGGCGACTGCCCCACGTAGGTTTGGAACCCGCTAGTGGTAGCAGACTGTCAAACGCCTTGACCACTTGGCCACCAAGGCCCCTGGAATCCATTTTACCTGGCGACTACTGTATACATGTAACTATCATGGAAAATTTCGCTGCAGTTTATTTTTTCAATTTTTCGCCCTCCTTAATGGGGCGTACTTATCATTGCAGTAATCATTTGTAAACAACACAATATACATAGTAATTAAATGTGAAAGGCGAATTTAATATTTGACAAAAAATGGATTTTTTCCGTCGAAGGGCGAACATTTCCAGGTATACAGTACTACATTGTACAGTATGTTTGAACTAAACGTTATACCAGGTGACTGATAAAGAAATCAGAAGTAACACAAAAATATCTATCATTAAAGCCAACCGCTAGCTACCTGTGGTTGCAATGATTCCTGGAATGTATTCAACTAAATATATTACTTTGAAAACGTTTCCTAGTTTTTTGGTGACCACAAAAAGTATAGCAAAATTGTGATTAAGTGAAAAGACATACAGATTCAAAATATTTATGGTTATTTTCTGACTGTCCTTTTTATTGAACAGTAATTCAATATATCTAAATACTCACATCGGGTGTTAAATTGATGTATACATCAGACATAAATGATTGTGCGCTTTAAACACAAAATCATACCGACTTGCATGAAAAATCATTCATAGTTCTCGACTTTTAGAAGTCAAAATGATTTATTTTACGTTTTATAATAAATTAGAAAAAAAAATCAGAAAGTCATGTAGCTTCATGACTGTTTCACAACAAAAGCGCTAAGAATTATCCTTTTAAAGCGGTTGAATTTCACTTTAACATATGTATTGATACGCGTACAATGGGGGTATAGCCTTCTGAAAAGTCAAGTGGACAATGGAACCAATCAGACGAGAAATAGCAAGGTTTAGATGAGGTATCACTCTATCATCCCACTGATATTACATACTTCACACCACCACCACATATACATCGTACACAACACTACGAACAAAGTCTGGTTAGATTGATGGTAGAAACACCCATGGCAATGTTTGCACCCATGTTTGGTAAACATTGTTAGATTGTATTAGAATCGCCTTGAAAAAGTGGTCAGGTTGATAATAGAAACACCATTGACAAAATCTGGTTAGATTGATAATAAAAAACACCCTTGACAAAGTCTGGTTAGTTTGATAAAAGAAACACCCCTGACAAAGTCTGGTTAGTTCGATAATAGAAACACCCTTGGCAAAGTCTGGTTAGATTGATAGTAGGAACACCCTTGGCAAAGTCTGGTTAGTTTGATAATAGAAACACCCTTGACAAAGTCTGGTTAGTTTGATAATAGAAACACTCAGGACAATTTGTGTTCAAAATCGTGATAGACCAGTAATAATTTTAGTTTGCCTTGCGTTACCAATTTCACTTTGCCTACCCTTATGATTAGGTGTTATTTTCATAAGGACCTGTTCAATAAGTAATATAAACGTACATCTGTTTTTCGAGGTTTTGTCTTCCTATCAGTTAAGGTTGTAAGTAGACGGTCAGATGTTATGTCCAAATAAAACTGTAGGCGACAGGTCATATTACCTAGCTCATTTTCTCTTAATGGCGTACTGGTCCCAATATATTCTATTTAAAATATATTATGAAATAAAGCGTACGTGTGGTTGGTTAATCTATGATACTGGATTTTATTAATATCATTGGGTTATTTTAATACGCACTGTTAAAGTACGGGGCTGATTCCATTACACGTAATGCCAATACATTTTATCAATTACAAACTTTAATATATTTATCATATGAATGTGTTGACAGAATGCATTTCCTTTTGTTTGGTGTAAGTGGGCTTGCTGACAGTATAAGGTATGGACTTGGCAGGTAAAAATATTCAATTCAAATTTTCTATTTGAAGCTACATGTATGTTAATTTTGTTCATGTTGATGTATATTAGAAATATAAGCAATCACTTTGCGACTTTTCTACATGTACATGTCTATGTATGTATTTCACTGTGTTTTTCTATTTTGCCTTCAAACTACATTGTAGTTACAAATGTGCAAATAAATTTTGAATTTATAAAACATTAACGAAACAGTAGATGTAATTCCGAAACATAACCAGAAAAACAGGATTTGTAAATTTTGCACTTTCAATGACTTACCTCGATTCAGTTATACCGGGGTAAGTTTTCTATAGAGGTATGTGTTAATATACTGTCCCCTGCGCCATAGCCAAAGGTTAAGCTAACCAGCCGGAGTAACTTTACTTGAATGGGATACTTAAATGTGTATTGATGGGTACACCACATATATATGTATGTAGATGGATTTATCATACATGATTAAGCACTGTCTCAATTTTCAAAATGAAAGAAATCTTTTCTGGAGATGTAAATGGAAACCGTCGACCCAGTGAAGCCTGAACGAGGCGCACAGTACTTTTAAATGAAATGTGATTTCTTAAAGGATATTTCAATTTCCATGCCATGAAATAAACCAGTTTTGTTGACAGACAAATTATTTGAAATAGAATATATTACATTGCACAATACGTGTAAGGGCATGTCCCCAGCTAATGTTCCAGGATATGGCCGATATGTGATAGGTTTTGTGAAAATATTGGGATTGACTTTTCGTAGATACGACGATCTACAAAAGATTGTATACGAACGTATTTTAAACAACTACGTTATAGAGTCAAAGGGTTTCGTCAAAAGATTGATAGACCAGATTCTCATTCCGATTTTTTAAATATTGAAATGTGTTGTACGCAATATACATAATATTAAAGATAAGCGATAATTTCAATGAAATTTAATGTATATCTTAATGTTTAAACTCCGTATATGTCCATCTTGTTAATTCATATGGTGATTAGGACTGTCTTATAGAAATCTAATACAATAAGATTGTTTTGTATACATATAGTGTTGGTCTTTTTAACCATTATGTTTGTTCAAATAAATATGCGACGGTGTGAAATTCGCAGGTAACTCATTATTATATGTATATTATATACTTTAATAATAATATGTCATACACATATATTGGAATCGTTAATGACTATAACTTGAGATTCCGATTTCTTCCGTAATCCTCATAGTGTTCGCTGGTCTATTTCAATAAGGTACTTCATTTCTTTTAAATTCTTTTACATACTTGTCATTTATAAATGTTTAGGATTGTCTTGTAATGATATGCCAAGCTCGTTCGGTGTTGTCTTAATGTTTGTTCTTGCCGTTAGTCAAGTTCCGTGTTACTATGTTACAAATTACTTTTGATGGACACAAGAAGAGACATGTCAAATAATATTATTTCATATTTATGGTTCATATAAATAACATGTTGTTTATTCACAATCAAAAGCTAGGTGAGTCAACAGGTACACGTGCTACATATATATTTCATCATGTTTCTGCGTTTAAACGAATGTCATTGATATTAGGAATGGGATTAGTACAATCCAATCACCTTATAGAAGCCATTCCTCCATGTAAGTACACATACTTTACATATATTATCAAATGACGTACACATACAATTACATTAACACAAATGATTAATTTGATATATACAATGTTTAATATTTAAAACAAAGGTAGATCAGAAAAATAAAAAGGCATAAAAGAATTGAGCGGTAGTTATACCTAATACGGTAGAAAAAAAAAAGAAAAAAAAAATCGACAAAAAGCTATAAATATGTGGACTATTTAGTTGTTGAACAATTAAATAGTTGTTTATCAAAACTGTCTTGCTAAACATAATTATGAAAATATGAATTCTACACACCAGCACTAGTGTCAAGACACGGAGTTTCAAAGGTGTCCGGATTATACCTAATCAAAACTTGATACCGAACGATAAATAAATTAACATGTAGATATGGACACAATACTATATACAATCCTTTAAATTCCAGCCGAACTGACATTTGTATAAATTCAAAATAAATGAGTTTGGGCCTATTATAGACAATAATAGCGTGTTTACCTAAAGGTCTAAGACATACAAAGGCAAGGGTAAGGTGTTATCTAGGATTCTTGTGTCGCTCTTCTCGAATCGACTGATACGCTTCTAGCCACTAACAA